GTATCCCAGATCCATAAAGAACTCTGTGGGGAGGGCGAATATAACCAGTCCATGGCATTCGTTCTTCCAACCTCTTTTGTTTCAACTAGTCTGCGTTCCATTTCTTCGCCCTTTCAACACTTTCGACTCAGTGCGCTTTCTGTATCTCGTTTGTTCGTCTTTTAAAATTTAGCTCTTCCGATACCAACCCGATTGAATCATGTGTAACTCGGTTCCCTTATATAACTTTGTGCAGCACGACTTGCATCAAATATGGAGTGAAAGGCGTGAGTGTGAATGCGGGACCTACTATGCAAAGGGATGGTACCGGTCCGAAAAATATGGCTGAAGGAGGAAGGCACTGCACCGACTGCTTCGCTACTCCCTTTGGTCATGGCAGTGCATCATCTGCATGGAAGTTCAGAGTGTAACACGGGAGCCACCTCTCATCTCGAGTTTGATGTTCGTGTTGATTGCAAGAACCAGGCAAGTGCATCTCAAATCTCAAACGTTTGCTCGTTCTTTTCGAGAGAGATCATCATGTACTACGGTCATAGCTGAAGTACCAGCTCTGGTAATATCTTCTGTTCCATTGGCCACTATACTGCTGGTCACCATCGTCACTAGGACCAGTTGCCCACTGGTCGATCCCAATGTCATCAGTTAAGTTTGATTAGTTCTGAAGATACGGTAACATAAATAGAGGTCTACTTTATCACCCACACAATAGGTTGCCATGGCTGATGGAATGAGAAAGAAAGAAATATGGCTATGTCGTGGAAAGCCTATTTATTAATATATAGAGTTATATAAATCTGATATTGCAACGGCAGAACTTTTGGGATTGGAAGATACATCCACGTGTAAAATGCCAGATGCGGCATTTCGCTAATTCTGTCAGCATCTCTGTCGACGCTACCTAGTGCAGCTTCTTTCTCCATTTGCCAACATCGGATCCGTCGGCTGCGAGGGCTAAAAGGGACCAATGAATTTAGTCGGAGACTGACACCCTGCCCCATGCTGTAGATTGCACAAGTGCACCGAGAAAGGGAAGAACACTCTCGTTTGAAATGGCAACTGCGGGCAGACGGAATGGAAAACGACACACCGATAGAAACAACTTGCATTTTCTAATATTTCTCTGCGGAAATGGGATACACTTAAGTCTCCCACGTAATTATTGTTTACCAATAGCTAAGGCCTTCAATTCCCTGGAAAATAATGATCTGTTGCTACTTACTGTAGCTTACGTGATACATCCACATTAGTCCCCAGTAAGTCCACACTATTCCACATGGGGAACTGTCATTCCAGATGTGGATCACCCGAAGGATTTGGATAGTCCTCCGGTGGACTACAGGGGGATTTTTCGTAAGGGTCTGCATAGGGGTATTCAGTAATGCTAATATCGCGTTAATTTTCCTTCTCCCATGAACATTTTTACATGGATGTGTGGATGTGTGGTAGCAATTCTGCTAGGTCAAGGTGGTCGAGAAGTCACGCAACCCAAAAGAAACCTTACCGAGCCAAGAGATGCGGAAACCTTTTATTCCACAGGAATTCCAATCGCTTCGAAGTACAGGTGAGGCAGGTGTCGCGTGGATAACAGATGCCTCAGATCGAAAACGTAGAAATTCCCACATTACATGAATAAGACCTCGTGATACGATGTGATTCGGGATTAATTTTACCAATTTTATTGCCTGCAACGAATTGCACGAACCGTCTTGTAAACGCAAGCCTTCGAGGACGTGGCGGGCACGTTCAGCACTAATTCCGAGCATCGAACCTTCAAAACTGAAATGACGTGCTAGCCTATGAAGAACTCCATATCTACGGAGTAAACAGTTTCTGTGTATTTTCCTTCGATTTTGGTGAGGTTTCTTTTTGGCCGCGTCACTTGTCATCATAAATGCAAGGGTGCTGCGCATGACATCTGAGATTCGATGCAAGCACGTTGCATTTCGTAGATCTCTCCTTCTATTGCAGCGGTTCTCAAGTTGTATGCCGCGAGAGGTTGGCAAGGGTGCCATGGGGGTTGGTAGAAATTTTTTTTAGGCCTTTCAACAAAGTAAGGCAAGATAGCCAAAAGGCTACAATGCTACTTTATTGGTGTAATCGAGGAGCATTTTACGGCGCGAGCAGCAAACATTTTCCGAAAAGTCGCGTAAAGTACAACACTTCTGATGTCAACCCATTCTCTCAATAAAATTGAGTACTCCTCGTATACACCTTTATTGAAAGAGTATCTATTCAGGAAAATTCCTAGATCAATATCGTTGCTGTAATGAAGATCCAGATTGCTTTTGCCACCAGATGCATGTGTCTACAACCCAGTGGCGTATTTTCGCTCAACCAAGGGGGACAGAAAGGAACTGCAAGGATGGTGGTGGTGGTAGTGAGAGAAGGTTCTCAAGGGGCGAAAAAAAAAACCTCAGAGGGGGGCGCTAGCCACTTTCAAGGGCTCCCAGGGAAGGCGGCTGCTCCCACTTTCCCCCGCCCCATAAAATACACTAAGGTGCAAAAGTCTTTGCCCCCAGTATTTCAAGTACAGTCAACTCTCGATATACCGCCAGTTGGTCTCGGTCGATTTTGGCGCTAAATCGAAACGCATAGCTTTAAAATGGAGACATTTTTCATAATTTATATAAAATATGCATTAAAGTTTACTTTAATTAATCCACACTGCCAATGCTCCGTGCATCAGAATATACCAACTACACAGCTCTGAAAAATGATTCTATCTATTCCATCCATTATTATACCCAATTTCCTCTTATTTTTAATTAGTATAACTCCTATGCACTGTCTGCGGTGATCTTGCGGGGTCGGTCACTGCGGCGTCTGTTCTCTATCGGGCCTTGTAATCTTGGCAATATTGTACTTGACAGTCCGAACGGGGATCTTTGTCAGACGAAGATCGATGGTCGTTGTTCCAGAAGTGTAAAATAGTTGATCGCTTCGTTTTCGGGGAAGTAGAATTTCCTTGTCGAGGCATTTTCTCCAAAATCAAAAATGTTTGCCACGATAATCCAAGAATTGTGACATACCTATGGCGGTTGTCGGCAAAGGAATGTAATGTCCCCATGAGAAAAAAAGGCGACTCTCACTAAGCCGATGCAAAATAATGTACTGTCTTAAACGCGAATTTCATGATTTCATTTGGACGAATAATTTCCCCTCTAAACTCACCATCATGGGCTGTGGGAATCTTTTCACCTGGGATATGAGTTGATAGACTGACTGTATCTGTATCCGTGTTCGTTGCGTCCTTTTTCTCAACATGTACGTCTATGTGCGAGAGATCGCTCTCTTCGTTTGTCTCTTCTCTCTGCCATGCGAGGGGATCGACTACGAAGACTGTGGTGAGTGTCTGATGAATCTCATGGCCTGGACAGTACACATGAATCCTACGTTGTCCTTGTTCTAGGTTCCCATGCAGAGGTACTGGAAGTAGGGATTGGAGGCTGCGACGCCATCCCATGCCAATTGAGCATCGGTGATTCTCTCCAAATCTCCCTCCACTTCCTCCATTGTCTCTGCACTATTCCCTGTCTGGTGTATCTTTGAGCCTTCTTCTATGTACATACAGCATACCATATCCCATTCCAGCGAGCATGGAAAGCAAGAGCTTGGAAGTGGAGCTGTACAATGTGGTCTTTGGGCTAGGGACTGAGGTGACGGAAGCACTGGGAGCGAATTCAAATGGATGCCAAGGTCTTGTCCAAGGCAATTGTCCTCTTGGCATTGGAGAAACTGCCCTCTATGCCCCTATGGAAGCCATGATCATCCCCAATTCCTTCCCACTGGTGAGATTCTTCCTCGAAAAAGAAAGAATACCCTCGTAGAGGTCAAGGGATGCTACATGATCTCATCCTCTTGTTTCCATCCCATTCAGCAAGAGGCCCTGTTCGAGATCCATCTCATCAATGAAGAGGCATTAGATGCTGTCTGTGTTCGAATTCCAGTTCTTTACTCTGCTTGAAAGAATCTATAAAAGCAGATGAACCCAAATAAACTCATCAGCCATGACTCACCACATCACAATCTTCAAGACTCCTTCCATCAGGAGGCTCTCCTCCTTATTGAGGGACCTTCTTTATAGGGTGAATTGATTAAAATTAATTTCTAGTCCAATTACTTTCTGAGGGCCCTGACACCTGAATAGTGACTTTTGTTTTGGATGTAGACACTCCTACAATGGAGGATCTCATGGCAGCTAACATTTTCAGCTTCAGGAAGCTCCATGTTCAGCTCTGAGTTCTTGCTATGAAAGTGTCAACCGCATGTATGCATTAAACTGGCAAAATCATGACCTACTTAGATTTGTGTATCATGAGACTCCTAAAAGTACCTGAATGAGAAATCAAACTCAAACCTAGAAGCTTAAAAGGACCCAGGCCTTCTGGAACCATCCATAACATACACTATATAACCAGAAGTATTGAGACAAAATATGATACAACAACCATCATTCCACGTTCAAACTCTGTCAGTCCCAATCCATGAGCCATACTGGCTACACTGACTGTAACATAATGCAATTACCTTTATATACTTTTGGGCTATCATAATGCCCTCTACTACATGACCTCTGGGACAATCTGTTATCAGCAGAGGGAGGGTTGTCCCAATGCATTTGGCAATTAGTGTAGGACTAAGGTGTGGATGGAGTGATAAAAGTTCCATCAAACATCTGTCAATGAATGCAGGAGGGAAACTTAGATCACAATTGTAACAGGAAGGCATGCAATTTTAAACTATCTTCTTCACCTTGCTTAACCATGCCTGCATCCTGACAGTAGTAAACAAAAGGTTGTAACTCGAACCAAACTTGCCACCAAGGAAGACAGCTTTGAAAACAATTGTCATTATGTGATGAGTTATATCTCATTCACTTTCTGTCATCTGCAGAATTCATCCCATTACAATGGCTATGGCATATAGGTTCTCACCCTTATGCAGCAAAAGCTTACATTTGCCAAAATGACAAGGGAAATTAAATTAAATGTTTCCATCTATCAAAGTGACACAAGAACAACTCTCCTGGGCAAGATTTCATCAGATACAAGTGTATTTCTGACAACAGAATAATCAAGCCAGCAAACAGGGAAGAGAGAAATATAGCTGCATAAGAAAGATGTTAAAAAAACCTTGTTCCAGGTGGCTGGGAATAGGAGATCCTTGGAGAAGGGGGATGATAAGTGGTCTGTAACAAAAAAAAGAAGAAATTTTTACACTGGGAAGATAAATCATGCACTCTCCTTGCAGGAATGAGACCTACTCCATGTGAAGATGGCTGATATGGACTGGGTCGAATTGGGTATCCACTTGTGATACTGCCACTCTTCAAAAGGGGTAGCTGGGGACGATGTGAGAAATATTTCTCCCGTTCTGCATCCCCTGAACTACTGGTCCCACTTCCACCCTTCCCTGATGAGGAAGTAACCCCTGCTGAAGACCCTGTTACTGCTGTGGAGCCTGACACAGAGGCATCCAATGGCTGTATGGATCCCAAGTATCCTGAAACTGAAAAGCAAAAGACAAGTTAATGCTCACCAGGAGAGGTCTTTGATCAAGCCCTACAAGGGGAACTGTTCATCATTATCATACCCCGAGGCTGAGGTGAAGACACAACAGGTAGATAAGGAGAATGGTGAGTAAGCTGTTTCCCTGCCTGACTCTGTGTTTGAGGTTGAGACACCTGTGATGCTGATGTGACATGGATGTACTGTCCATGTCCATGTGCAGGATACGTATAAACACTGGTTGTGGATGGGGCAGGGTATGATCCATTGGAGCTGTGATGCCCATAGTAACTCCCACCTGAACCTTGTCCTGTGCTCTCCACTTCTATCACAAGTAAGACTCCATGGTTTCAGCAAGGACCAGTAATAGAAGAGGACTGGACACTCCTCTGGAAATCGTGTATCAGCAGTCATCCACCCTGTGCAGGCAGCGAACCTGGTGGTTGCTGAGGAAAACTACATTTGTCTGCCACTGTCTTCCATGGCAAAGCATGGCGGACGCAGGTGCTCTGCTATTAATTGTAATAATTCAGACAGAATCTCAGCAGGGAATTACTTTTTCATATTTCCAGGACCCCAAAATAGGTCAGTATTGAAGATTAAGTTATGTATGAGCCCATGCTTGCACCTCAAGGATGTGCTCCTTCACCGTGAAAGATGTCCAGGGGCAGTCTAGATCCATCTACATATAATGAAAATAAACTCTCAGCTCTCATTGATAATAGTTAGAATAACTCATAAAAGTTGGTTATATTCTGAAACAGAAAATGAAAGTTTTCTCCATAAAACACTAACACAAAATCGACCAAGCTCTGATAAGTTGGACAACTTCAAGTTTGCTTCTTACAACTAATTTCCATTCATGTTTGCACAGAAAACTGCACCCCCAACACTCAAAGCACCTCACACCCAATGCTCAAAGTTCTGTCAGCTGAAGCATGCCGCTTCTTGACCCTTTCCTCTTCCCTGTCTGATAATATTGAAGAATAAGTACTTTCATTGACAACAACATTATTATTCTTTGGTATCATGGTGTAGTTCATCTTCCTGATAAGATGCGCATGGAAAAACTGAGAGCAACAGTCGGAGACTGATGGAATACGTGGACTGCAATGGGGCAATGTTGTGTTTTTCCTCAGCAGCAGCTTGGAGTGCTGCCTGCACATTGCCATCCATGTTGATACATGGAGTGCAAGCGTGCCACTTCCGAGTGTCCAGTCCTATTCTATTACTGGTCCTTGGCTTCAGGCTCACTTCAAGACAAATGAAAAGCATAGTGCAAATGTTGCATAACAAGCAACATACCAGCCTTAAAAATTAATTCATATTCAAGAAGCAATTCTTCAAGACTGGATATGAATGGCACATTGAGTAGAGATTTGACATTTCCCTTAAGGCAAGAAGCTGGAATTTCTTCAGTTGTGAGGAACTACAGAATCAAGAGTACACTTACTATTTTGCTGAGCATAAGCAGCTGCAGCAATGGCCTGGGTCTTGTAAGTGTAGGGTGAAGAGAAATGAGAGCTATGACCATGACCAGGGGGTGGTGGGGGGGGAGGACCAGATCCCTGAGGTGGTGGACTCAAACTTCTACCCCTCTTCAGTCCAGGCTGGAATCCAAGACAATCCATCCAACAGATTTCATTACTAAAGCCCTTTGATGAATAACTTGCAAAGCTATGAAGTTAGAGATTACTTTATAGCAGAGCTGTACATCAAATTTGGAGTCAAAAGTAACTAAGGACATATGAGGTGTGACCCAGAAGTTTCCGAACTGATTATTTTGGGGATTTTATGGCAACAATGGGCAGTTGGTGGCACTGGAAAACTTGTCTCTGACTCTTTGTTGTCAACATTGTATGAGCTCACAACCATGAGTTCTGTCTGATTTGTGCTGTGCTAGTTTTTCTTAGTAGTTTTTTTTTGCTGTTGTAAAAATGAGCCGCAAATTTTTGGAACCATGAGTAAACCTCACATTTGTGCCAAACTTGGTAAAATCTCTAACAAAACATATGTTGAAAATAGTTCATGGTAATGAGGTTATGTCAAGAACACAGACTTTTGAATGGTTTAAGAGATTCAAGGAAGGCAAAGAAGATGTGAAAAATGTGGACAGCCAAAAGTTCCTTAACCAATGATAATTTTGAAATCGCACGATTCTTCACCATGACAATGCATCATCACACAGTGCTCTCTCAGTAAGGGAATTTTTGGCAAAATTTAAAATCACTCAGCTAGAGCATCTGCTGTATTCACCCAACCTGGACCTAACTGACTTCTTCCTGTTCCCCAAGTTCAAGAATTCTTTGAAAGAAAAGCACATTTTGAGTCAGTGGAAAAAATCCAACAAGAAATGATGACTCCTCTGAGAAACATTACAAAACATGACTTCCAAAAATATTTCCAGGCATGGCAACACTGTTAGGAGATGTGTATGGCTCAGCAAGGAGACTATTTTGAAGGGGACTAAGGTAAGTTTTTAAAAATTTCATACCTGTGATTTAATAAATTATCAGTCCAGAAACTTCTGGGTCACACCTCGTATTTTTTTTTCAAAGGATATTTTAAAAAAGAATATGAAGGTCTGGCTCTTTCTTTGTGAGGGCATGCTTGAAACAAAAATAAACAGCAGACAACCAAAATAATAGAGGCATAAATCTATAAGCAAGGATCTCTGTCTCTGTCCATCTGATGCTATGCATTCGGACACTGTTGGAGATATCGACCTGAAACCTTCGCAGGAGGGTGGGGTCTGTCCAGTAGCAGGTCATAGGGGGGTCGGGGTAAGGGGGGGGGGCGGCTCCGGGGGTGGGGGGGGTGGGTCTTGTGGTCCCAAAAAGGGTGTTCCAGGCCAGGTAGATTTCTCAAGCATTGCGGTGAATGATTGAGACGCTTTAGAATTTAGAAATTTAAAATTTAGAATTTAGAATTTTTTTCAGTGCAGTAAGAATATGTGTCAGAAAATGGAGTTTAGTTTTTACTGTGAAATAAGAATATCATTGAGAAACTCATTTAAGTTAGATTTTTGTGAAAGAAGAGCCCCTTTGAGTTAATTAATATAGAACAACTTTTAAAAAATAAGGAAAAAAAAACAAATAAAATAAAATGGCTATTTTTTTTCAGTGCAGTAAGAATATGTGTGAGAAAATGGAGTTTAGTTTTTCCTGTGAAATAAGAATATCATTGAGAAACTCATTTAAGTTAGATTTTTGTGAAAGAAGAGCCCCTTTGAGTTAATTAATTTAGAACAACTTTTAAAAAATAAGAAAAAAAAACAAATAAAAATAAAATGGCCAGAGCAGTGCTCCCGTCCCCGTCGGTCTGGCCGAACTTAGGCAAATAAGCACTAACAAAAAAGCACATAAAAGAACAACAGCTATATTACTCCTATAAAATATCCCGGGCAACGCCGGGCAACCCAGCTTGTATAAAATAAAATACTATACTCATAAAGTATAAGGTGGTGTCCAGGCTGATCCACCAAATCATGTTGCTATTTCCCTGCAGTCTGGTGTTCTGTACGTGAAAGTAATTTAAGAGTGTAAAAAATATTTTCCTAATATTTGGCATGTCCATGTTTTGTGACAACATTGTTTCACTATGTCAATATTTTGATGTTTTGATAGAAATGTTCTGATATTGTGCCAAATGAAATACTGAAACAGCTTCCTGAAAAATTGCTTTCACAAAACCTTAATGATTCCTATTGGAGTTATGTTAAAAATATTTTTTTTTTAACCAATATGAAGAGAAGTAGTAGTCATGTCACAAGAGTAGTCATGTCCCATGTAGAGTAGTCATGTCCCTGCTTTTACTCCTGAATACCAAAAGTAGTTGTGATTTCAGCATGCAAATAAATACTGCTAAATGGCGCCATGTCAGTGATTAGTCTGATGATGGGCATCCAGATATACAGGATTTTTTTTTATCTCTGTAATTTTTAAGTGTAAGCTCAATGTCAAGAATTTGTACATGAATTTGGATATTTTAAATTTAGCATTTTTTATGCATCTGAACATTTGACACAAGGCTTTGAACCTTTGTCCTGTATTAATATTCACTGGCACAACTCCCATTTTTGTGCTGCTGGTGTCACCCAATGAATAATTCTGCTGACACATCAACAGCAACAACTTCCATTGTCTCCTTGATCTCTTTGATGCATTATGACATCCTGTAATTGACCTTTGGAATGTTATAACCTAAGAACCAAAAGTATCCATATGGCTCAGGTCAGGAGAACATGGGTGCTAGTTGTACTAAACTTGCCCATGATGTGTCATGAGCCATACCATGCCTGACCCTAGAACCTATATTCATCTGACATGAGCCCTAGCGTTTCTGGTCATACCATTCCAGAGGTCCACTTCAGGAGGCAGCAAAGCATCCAATCCAGGAGCACCAGGAGACTGGAAGATGTTGCTACTGATGTATCAGCTGATATCTTCCATAGTTCCATGAAATCCTGCCTAAGTTAACAACAGGTAAATGTATGTGGAGGACACTTTGAGCCAGGGGTGGAGAAAGTTAGGTAACCTTTTCTTACACTAATGGGAAGGGTAGTGACTGATCAAGAAGTCATAATAGGAAGAGAATAAATTAGGGAATAGAGAGGAGTGGAGAGAGTGAAAGAAGGAAATAATGGAAAAAGGAAGAACAGGAAGACAAAAAGTTGGGTTGACATGGGATAAAAGGTAGGAGGTAGTAGGGGATTGGGAAAAGATGCCAACAGGAAGGTGACACTGATGCTTGGAAGGCTGAGGCTTCTCACCATTCTGGTGGGAAGATAAAAAAATAAGCGGTTAATTTTTCGCCTTTGCAGAATTTGTAGATTTGTAGATCCATGGATGAGGGATTTATAGTTGGTTTTCATTCCCTATTGGAATGTACCATGCCTCATTCCTCACTCATGATTCTGCACCTTATCCATATGTACTTGTCATGTGTCTGACCAATGTAGTCAGAAATGTTCTCTTTTGGTTCATTTTGCATCCTTCAGACTCAAGAGGATATCATTGTATAGCATTGTATAGCAAGGAAGGTTGCTTTCATTGAGCCATATCATGCATACCAATCATACATTTCCCATCCCACTGTCAAGCAATTTATGGCAAATGTATGAAGTCAGTAAGACATGACCAATTTAAAAAAATCACTTTGGGAAATCACTTTATCCTGGAGATGTGAGAAAATTTTCAAGAACATTATCCAACTGCTTCTAAAAGCCTCCTCTATCAGCAACACCAAGGACTGAGACCTGCACATCTGAATCCAAAAGACCCAGCTCAAATGAACCAACTTTGGTATTTGAAGAACAAGGAGAGAAATTTGGTTTCTTTAGGAGAGGTTCAAATAAAATTGAGGAAAACTACAGAGGTGATCAACCTGGAGATGTGGAATATGACCTAATCCAGTGAGGATCATGGACTGACATCAGAATGGTGGGAACCCTTGATCTTCAACCAGGATCAGGTAGTCCTGCCAATAGTGTGATGATGAGACTCCCAACCCCCCCTCCCTCTGCAGTTAGATGAAATAGTGCCTGACATGTTTTTTGAAGAACCGGGCAAACATCAGAGCTTCATGTTGTTTCAGAGTTTTATTTACTGACTGAGTTTGTAGAAATGGAGACTTGAAGCTTAAATTCAATTTAAAAAAAAAACTATTTAAGTCCTGAGATAAAATATGTTGCTGTGTTCTACTAGCTCCACATAGTAAAATAACATTTTAAACACTCTTGCAAGTGACCTTTTTATTGCCTCTGTTTTCCTATATGCAAGAACTTCTAAAAGAACTTTGTCCTTCTTCACTCTTGAATGAATCCTGCCTGGGGCCAATATGCCACCCAGATCCCTGGTACACATCAATGACTCACTTCTCATGCTTGCTGAACTGGGAAGAACTATTGCTACTTGGACCATGGCTACTTGGAACTGAGGAACTTTTTCACCTCTACCTTGAAAATTTATTGTCAAATGTTCAGATGAAAGAAAGATACCAATGCAATTGCCACTGCTTATTGTAATCACTTTTGATCAAGTCTGAAGTGGTCAGTATTAGTAACTGAATCCTATACCAGGCAGCAAGTTTGTGAAACAAGAATTGAGGGATTCCAAGCATTTTGGCTGTCCCTCTGCCTCATTCTTTTTACTGCCTCATTCTTTTCACCTAAAAAATAGCACTTGAGCATCACCTTGTTCTTTGTCAAAGCTTTCCTCGTCATCTTTGAGCATCTAAGGAATGGAATACTAATTTCTCTTTTCAGGTAACTTAGACTGTCTACTCTTATCACTCTATCCAATGGACTGATGGCAGTAACCAGCAAAATTTATTTTTAGAAAGTCTCAAGCAGATTATGCCAGCAAATTTCAATCGCAAAAAGTGACTGATCACTATATCCACAGTCACAATATGTGGCAATTATTTCATTAAAGTTCCTTATTAATCTGTGAATTTCTGTTGTTTGGCCTACAGATAAAAAAATTGCATTTTGCAGATAAAACAAGATGGTTTAGAAAGTATGATGCCAATTTGAGCATAACTCCATGATGTGAGGTTGTGGTTTTCAACTTTTTTAATGTATGAACTCCACTTGATAATAGTGATGAATAATAAAGAACCAGAAGCACAATCTGAGAGCAATGGGAGCAATGAAGGGCATCCTGAAAGTTGGTGTAACAGACCTGAGACTCATGAAGGTTAATTGCTACTACATGTCTGACTGGTAGATGGTATTCAAAGCATGGAATTCTTTATTTCTTGGTTTATTCAGAGGGTGAGGAGAAAGCTGGAGAGAATCCAGAACTAGGAATGCCAGCTGATTTCCATCAAATCCCACCTGCCCAGATGCAAGGTCAGCCTGGTTGAAATTTTCATAGTTGAAAATGCAGATCATGTTTGTGTATGTTTGTACTGGATGAATTTGTATGTAATGCTGCTTGAATCTGTGCTGATTTGAAAATTTGCAAATGGGTTGCAAAAGTTGTTTATGGTTTCCTCCCAGTTATGAAGGATGATGAGGAGGAAAAATCAAAGAAACAGCCAGCTCTCCCCCTACCTCCAAATCAATGGGCCGAAAAAGAGGATGGTCTGGATGCAATTGCCAGGAACCTGCAGAAAGAGGCAGACCGAGAAGACAATGCAGCTGAAGAGGGTGATCAAGGTGTTGAGGATGCGAAGAACCAACTTGGAGAGGACTCCAACAATGCTGAGGAGAAGGATGAAGGTGGTTTGCTTCAAGACCTTGTTGGTGGAGGTGGGGGTGAGAAAGAGAATGGGGTTAAGATTGTGAAGGAGGGTGGGGCATATCAAGACTTCAACACAATGCCACGAGGGAACATGGAAGAGAATCATGCAAATGTACCTCCTCCTCCCTTGGAGTGACTCAAGATGTTGCCTCTCATGATCTCACTCCTCCTCTGTGGCTCAAGCTGCCATCTGCAAGTGATGGCTGGTTTTCCTTTCTGGACTACCTTATTTTTTCATCCTTTAGCTGCTTAGTATGAGTTTTTCAGTTAGCTTAATTCAGCCTCTGTAGCTCCAGTACCTTCAGAATTTTTTATTCTTTTTTATGGCAAGTTAGGGACTTTCTTTGCTTTTATTAAATGAATATTATGTTTATGCATAATGGAACTGAAAAATCCATAAAAACGTTTTTTGTGCTCTGCTTTCATGAGAAAATTGTAAATTAAGGCATAAATCTGTAAGATTAATTATTGAAGAAATGTTTGTGTACTTTGGTTTATTGGTATCCAGGAAATGGTGCAGATTGCCTCATTCTGGGTAGTACTGTATCATCATGTGTTTCTATGAATTGCTCACTGATCATCTTGAAGTTCACCTCAGAATTCTGGAATCTGCACCAAATATTCATTTATGCTCCTGGAAGGATGGTAGTGTGAAATTTATGACTTTCTTATATAAATCTCAAACATGGTGCAACAGGATTTCCCTCATGATGGAAATCTTTGGAATGTGCAACTTGAACAAGGATACTCATTGGGTAGAAAAGGGGGGGGGGGGAGGGGAGGGGAGGATATTACTGACTTATTCTTTTTGCCTACAGCAACTGCCTGGGTAGACACAATATTAAAGCATTGATTTTTTTAAGCAGTAAAGTTACATCATAATCTGTTAACCAGTGCAAAACTCCTGTGCACACACTACTGCTTCCTCCTGAAAGTAGGGGTAGCCATGCAATGTATCAATGGCAGCAGTAGGCCACAAGCCTCATGTAACCATCAAGGAAACCTCTACCCTTGGTGTTCTGAAGTCTCTCTGAACAAGCCCAAGATGTGTCATGTGGGTAGGCTTGAGCAGTAGGTCTACAATTGTCATGGAAATCAATGGATCTAGACTTACCAGGTATGATGTGCTATAGGATGAGCACATGTTCCAGGGGTCATCCATGATAATAGGAGAGCATTGATATCATTCCATCTGCAGTGTGTTGAAGTGTTACACTGGTCCTTCAGTATAGGGGAAAATTAAACATTTTCTGAAAGTCCTGAGAAGATTAAGCATGGTTCTTAATGGAGTAAAAAGAAGGCTTTTCATGTTAATGTTGGCAAGTGCCTCCTTACTCCATTGAAGCCTTTACTTAATGTTCTATGGGCCTTGATAGTATCCCACTTTTTAATCCAATGACTATATGAACTTACTCATGGTCTCATTAACTTCCCTCATTATAATTTAGTGACACTGTTACATGTTTGATTTCACATGAATGGGGAAATTATTTTTAGGGTGAAGAGTCTTGATTTGCATCATTGAGACTTGTAGCACTCCTGCCATACCATGCAATGTGTGTTGTACTGAGATGACTGTGTGTTTCAGGTGTCTCTGGGAACTGGCTTTTGTGATTTGTTGCCTTTTTTTAATTTGAAGTTGAGATTTTGTTGTTGGCTAATTTTTTGGTTATGGGTGCTATTTAGAGGATCATATCATTCACACTGGGGGCCTACATTTTCTTTGTGGTATGGCACCATGTGTGGGGGGGGGTTCAACTTTGTGAAGACTTTTCTAAGCCATCATTTATTCTCGAGTTGTTCTCATTAAAATGGAACAAATATGTTGGTATTTGGAATTATTGTCATTAAATAATACCAGGAATTCAGATGAGAAGATTCTTACTCTCCAATCATTGCATGGTATGCATCCCATGAAGGATGAATTGTACAATATAACATGGACAAGGAGGCTGAGGAAGTGAGGTATTTTGAAATTGCTGAAATAAACTGTTTTGAATGGAGTAAAAGGAAAGGAAGGCAAGTGCTGGGCATCCAGCAGTCATAAACCTTTGTTGAGAATTCTTATTCTTTCACAAATTTTGAATTTTTATTCAAGTTAGACTAAAACTGCTTGCCTCTACAGAAACCTGTGGATGCATTCAGTTCTAAGGATCATTTTATCATTATTTAAGTTTTGCCATGAATGACTTTAACCCTTTAATGCCTGGTGTAGCAGATGTGCTATATTCTAAACTAAAAAACATTGCAACAATAAATAACAACAATGAAATGTGACAATGCAGCAGTAAGTGTGACAGTAAAATTGTAAAACCTTCAACTTGAAATTTTGACAAATAAAATTTTCTGTTTTTCCTTTTTTGGAAAAATTAAATTCAAAGTTTATAATAGATATTTTTTTTCTCTTTTATTTTGCCAAAAAAAAAATTGGTAGGATTCATTTAGGTTCTTGAGCATAGGAAAGTTATACATTTTTTATTTCTTCCTCAAATTTGTACAGGGTTCCCTCACTTTACATGGGTTCTTTTTACATAGGTTCACACTTGCATGTTTTTTGTTTTTTTACTACCAAAAATTTGGAAAGCACAGAGTGTGGTTCATAGATATAAAATTTGAGTTTATTGAATTTTTGGTATAAAAAAAAAGTGCAAGTACAAATCCATGTAAAAAGAACCCGTGTATAGCAAGGGAAGCCTGTATGCATTGTTGTATTGCTGCATTTTACTTTTGTATATTGTTTTAATATATTTTTTGTTTAGAATGTAGCATTTCAGCTAGGGCGAAAGCAGAAACCTCAACTTCAAGTTTTAGTGGTGAGACACATGCACTTGAGTTATTGTCTTGAAGTTTCTAGCTATGTTTAATCTCTCTTGGACTTAAACAAACAGGCAGAGGTTTCTACTGTGATCAATTATGTGATGGCATTGATGTCTCTGATTGGTTCAGTCATACAGTGTAAAACAGATATGCTTACACTAATTTTTCAATTCAAAGCTTTCAACCAACATCTGCTACAGAGTCTGACATGTTCATTTTAAAGTGCCTCCTTTCATGGGATGCATTCCATGCCTGCCATAATCACCTTGAGAGTCTTTCTGTGATAAGCTATAACTCCCATGACTGGCAAGGTTGATTGCACTGCTTGGGTTTGGTGAAAATGCACATGTCCCTCTTCCTTCATCTACATGATGCAGTGCACTTAATTACTTCTCATTGGGATTTTCATGCCATTTTGCCACATGTGGAGGTTGATACAACAGAATGCCTAGACACCTTTCTCATATCCCCGATAATCCTCCCATACCTGGCCTTTTTGTGGTCCCTGCATGGCTCTCTATGTAACATTCAAATGACTGAGCTTCTAAACTATATTATACTCGAAGAGTGTAGCTTCCTCATACCAATGAGTGGAAAGGGGGGTAAGAACTGAATCAGTCATATTTCACATTGACATCAAAGCTGTGAACTATTAGGCTACCAGCTGTCATTGCAGGGGGAGGGGCAGGTAATTGGGATATGAAGAGACCACACAACACCTCACATGCATTTGTCTGATGCAGTGGGCACTTTGGTATTCTATCCTTTTGCCTCTTTTGGCACCCACTATGATGGCTATGAAATCTAGCCATGGTTTCCTGTTCTGATGGTTTTCTAAATCTTCAATCCAGAGTGAGTTTAAGCCTGCAATTAATTCAGCATGCTGATCAGTTTCAATCTTTTTCATCATGTGATACCTCTCATCCGCACACCAAGATCAAATTTATACCTGGTACAAATATATGGAAACCCTGCCCTAGTTTCCTCTTTTTCCCCACTTGGCTTGATGTCTCACCTTATGCTTTGTCATCAGCTTTATAATAATATGATGTGATTTGATTTTTTCTTGCATGTGATTTTAAATAATAAAGATTCTTTCCTTGATATTCAAATGTCCCTGCTGCTTAATAATAAAGATTGAAAGGATAGGGGCATTAATTTGCTCCTAGGGAACCAGACTCCCTCTGTCCTTCATTGCTTCCAAAGGGCATTCATTGATGCTTGACAATCTGCTAGTCAAGGAACAGAAAGTATGGTCTATAATAGCAAATATTATGAATTGGTATTATAATGAAAAAGTATGCGATAAAAAGAAGGGAGATTCTGAAGATAAATTAAAGGCACCAAGTCAAGTGATAATAAATCAATTGTGTAACATGATTTAAAGCGTAGCTAAGTCTCAAATGTATGTGTCTTATTAAGCCTGTAACATTTTAATGGTATTAGGTATGAAATGTTTGAAATAAGTATTTTGTACATGTCAGGCAAACAAATTAGGTACTAAGGTATCCCTGTACTCTTAGGACTATGTGATACAAAAGTGAGTTTTCCTCACAGTTAGTTTTGATTGCAGAGAAAATATTCTGTATGTGTTAAAATGCCAGAAGAGGAAATCTCTGGTGAGATGAGTGAGGGTAGAATCGAGATGGAAGTGCAGCTGGAAGACAATTCAAAGGAGAAGTCATTTTTATTTGACACAGAGGAGAGCACCATACAAATGATTGGGATCCTCCTTGGATGTACTCCACCCGACTTCAACTTGAATCAAACCATTCATGTCTTTTCCAGTGGTAAAACTAAAGCCAAGAAAATCAGTTCCTCATCAATATCAACCCCTCCAGTTCAGTCACCTCAGCCTCCCTCTGCCTCCTTGAGTGGATCAGAGAGTAATGAGGGTGATCAATCTAGCTTGGGAGCAAGTGCAAGTGTCTACTGCCGAGTCTTCCATAAGCAGCTTGGTGGTTGGTTTGAGGCTCAAATCATCAGCCATAATGAACAGCGCCTTGTCTCCACAGTGGAAATTTTAGGTAAGATATTAGCCTAGTTATGTCAGCTTTTGTTCATATCTTGAATGCTCCAAATTATATTTGGGAGTAGTTTGCAGCACCATGGGCTTCTTTGCTGAACAAAGAGTAGCACAACTATTTGCAGCCTAAACTGCTCATAGAGTAGGGAAACTCCCTACTTAGTAAGGAGTTTAAGTCTCAAAAAGTGCTCCTCTCTATTTAATGATAGGCTCCATATGGCTGAACCAAAGCTTCCTAATGTTCTTCATAGTTTAATGATGGCTCTGACAGGCTTTGGTACGAAGCTGATTGTGCCTAGTAAAGGAATGTTAAGATCTGGAGGAGAGAAAGCTCGACAGAAACAAATTGATGAAGCCACAAAGGCAAGGGAAGGCTGTGATATGGAGTATGATGAGGAGATGGAGGAAGATGATGATGGAGAACCTCGAGAATTTCCCTCCTTTTGCAAGACCTGTCATAGTCAAGAAGAATCACCTCCTTCTGCAGATCATGTGAGCTTGATCCACAGCATGTTATTGATGACAAATGAAGTTTCTTGCATTCACATTTTGTCCCAAAATAAGAAAAGGAAATGGGAAGTTCTGAAAAATAGTTTATTTCAATATTGAGTTTAAATTCGGAGCTTACAGAAAAAACTGTGATATGTCAATGGTTCATAAATTTCCTCAAGCAATATCCATGGCAGGTTGAACACTGATATTTATGCTTGATTTAGTACTGAAGTAAATGCACTGCAAGAAGTACTAGTTATGGCCAAAACACCTTAGTTATTTTCATGAAAGCCACAGCCATAAAAGAGGACATAAGTTATAAGGTCATACTGGCTTATTCCATCTGCAGACTTTGCCTAATCAATTGGAACAGTACTTATAATCTCCAAAATTATTTTGCCATGTTGCCTTAATTGTGTGTTTGAGTGCTGCAGAAAGTTTTATGGTGGTGCTACCCTGGGAGTTTCACAAGTACATCACATTATTTTAGTCAATAATGTTTTTGGGAAAGCAAATGCTATAGAGGATTCTAATACACTGATTCCACAATAGTAATTTGGTATATGAGAGAGATGTTTGTCAAAAATGATTTTCACAAATATATACATTTTTCTTATACAGGGTTGGCATACAAAACTTGTCTATGTCCATGAACATCAAATAAAATTTTCATGAACCTTTCATTATTGTGGCAATCAAGTCAACCCACTGATGGGAAGTCATGCCACTAATGTAGTCTCAAATATATAATGAACTCTCCTGAACTCAGAACATATTAGGATAATAAAAGAAATATTTATCTGCCTATATTCTAATCCGTATGACCTTTTGCTGTGATGTGACCAATGTACTTAAAAATAAAATGGGGTGGGGTGTTGGGAGGTGCTGCTTCTTGCTACAAAACTCAATGGTTAATCTGGAAACAAAAATGAGTTTCACATAAGTTTTTTACTCTCTCACTTAAAATAACCTTGGAAATTTTGTGTTTCATTCTCTACTATAAAGCTTTCCTGAAAATTTTGTTGGACTGAGGCAAAAATAGTGAAAAATGAAAAAATGAAAAAATAGTGAAAAGTTGCCCAGTGGCACAATTTCTGATCCTTGAGTTGGGTTTACATGCTAACCAAATTCATTAAATGAGTATTTAGACTTCCATTTGACCTCTAAAGGAACCAATACTGCAATTTCAGCCAGTATTTGAAACCTTGACCTCACCATCTGTCATACTTTTTCAATCACTGGCATTTACCTTTGCTCATGGCTGCAACATGACCTAATGTACTGCATATTTTTTTATGATTCCTCAATGTTTTATTTTTTTCCATGAAAGGGTGAAGTGAAGGGTTCAGGAGATAATGGCACAGTGTTTCAACCATGTATCTATCCTCCTTTACCAGTCTTTGATGGGGCTGTCAATCTGTCATCTGTGGTGAGTGTTGTCCTTTGGGGACCTTTTGCATTTCCTAAGAAAAAAGAAAGTGAAGAGGATACAAATTCATGAATCAATGTGTCCTTTCCCCATAGCCTCCGTTCTTGCCAACCATGGAGCCCACCTATGATCTCCCTCTACCAAGTAGCTTACTTGTAAGCTACTTTTCTTTATTCTTTGATTTTTATGAGCATCATTTCACTTGTGATCTCACACCATTTCTCAAGTCATAGACGTTGAGGTAAATGCTAGAACCCTGTTGATTTCACGTTACCATTCCTTCAGACAAGCTCACCTCAGTTTTTCTTGTCAGAAGGAGGTCTCATTGCCACCACCTCCTCCTCTGCCAGATGAAGCTGTGCTAAAGGACCAAAATGCACTTCATTCCTTGCTACTGTCATGGTATTCCAATGGCTACCAGATTGGTATGTTTTGTGACTCCTTTTTACAATTTCAGTCATTAGGATTAACAGTGAAGTCTCTCTCTCTTTTTATTTTCCAGGATATCAGGCTGGGCTCTTACAAAGGAACCAGAAGACATAGCAATTGAACTCTTACAATGTTTGACCAAATAATTTTACATAAAACTTTTGATTTGTATGAGCATTTTGCCAATAAATTTCTAAAATGTTATGTGTTGGAAGATATACACTATGCCCCAATAAAAAATGAATCCACTTTATTCATCAACATATCTCTAACTAATATCACCTGTGTTTTGCAGGTTTTTTATCCACTATCTCTCATTATATTAGGAAGGATTTCTGCCAAATTACATCCCATATAGTTGGATAGTACTCCAGCTGATCAATGGTAGGCATGAAAAAGTTGAGGCTTGCAATGCAGTCTTGCTGATTGACAACTCAAGCAACCTGTGTCGTGTGCACACCACCACTTCAAGTGCAGTAATGTGCAATTTCTAGCTGAACTACATGTGGCAGCTCTTGCATTGTGTTGCAAGCTACAATTTCAACATCCAATATTTCAAATGGTTTGTGGGATATAAGGTATGGAGTTGTCTAAAGTAAAAAAAACAAACAGCAACTTTCACAAGCATTTGAAATGCCATTTGCAAAAAATAAAACATTAAGCTCAGTTGAGATTGGTAGGAGTTGTATTAAAAAATAAAGGTGAACTTTTTTTACTGGGCCTTGTCATAGATGCATGGTAGTATCATTGCAAGATGAGACTACTTCCATGTTAATAGTTCTCAGGGTTCTCCAGTTGGAGAACCAGCTTCTGAAAATGAAGCTCATGGGTTTGATGAAGCTGCAGTGTCTTTACTTTAGGGAAACTTTTGCAAATGCAGGCAAGGATTATGACATAGATAACTTACCGTGGATTTCAATTTCCTAGATGAGCAAATTTTTTTAAAGAGTTCTGAAATGTTTATCTTTCCCCAGAGAATCTTGCCTCTTCTTTACTTCATGTTATTTACTACCTGCTGTATTTTGTTGAGGGGCTTTATTCTTGTCACCGCTATCATTGCTCTATGGGAATTTTTCTATGCATGAAGCATCACTTCATTAAGTGTATTTGTTTTTGAGAAACTGGGATTCCAAGCATAGAATCTTTTGCTTTCTTTGATGAGTCTGGGCTTGCTCAGGGAAGAATTTATATAGACTCATGATAGTTTTGCAGTGGTGCAACCAAGGGGGATGGTTCAGGGGGTCTGAACCCCCTCAAACGCCTGCTCATGATGGTATCTCTCTACTTCTCTATCCTCCTCTTCCCCAAGGGTGGGGGGACACTGAAAGATATGAGCAAATGACCCAAGAGCAAGGCTGGAAAGGCACAAAGATAGGAGGTGAAAGGTGAAGGTCATGCAAGTCACATGTAGCTTCTCACTTTAGTAAAGCGAATCTGTCAAGAAAGTGTCCTGCACGTGTGATGCTACTGAATATTTTCTGAAAACTGAAAGATGACAATTCAGGTAAAAGGCATGAATCATGTACAGGTTAACAAATTCCCAGTTGCATATTTGCACCATGAAATTTGGGCTGAACCCCAAGATTAATTTAGTTAATTTTAAGCTTTTTTAAGATATCAAATGTGCTTTTATCATTTAGAGTTTAAATTCCATTTCCACCATTTCGTAACATTTTTATTCATTTCATTTTCTTTGTTGGTGTGTTTGCACCATTTTGCACTTTTGTTGAGTATATCTCTTCTGATGAATTTGATAATAACTTCTTGCAGTCTTAAGACATTTGAAAGACATTAGAACTTACCCCTCCCTCAAACTTTAGGGCTGGTTTTGTAGTTTTGATTTTAACTGGTGAGCTTAAAATTTTCCCCCTGTTAGCAACATTCTGGTGGAGTAGGTTTTATTTTGATTCAGCTGAATCTCTTCTCTTGTGAGTGCAGTTTGATTTTACTGATTGAATTTGCATAATGGCAACACCAATTGGCACAGTTCTGTTCAACAGAGACACCTTCGTAAGTAACCATAACCTTGGATTGTTTATATTTTGGAAGAAATTATGAGAGAAAGAGCACGATGGGTTTTTGTTCTCCAGGATGAGTCATTGCTGGAGGAAGTATGGGATGATACAGAATTGATTCGCCAGTATGATGAGTCAATGAAGCCACTCAAGCGAAGAGTTGAGAGGGAAGTGAACAAGAAGTTGTCTCAAGGTCTCATCTCCATCCATATGGATCCTCTTCAACATGGAGAAATGGAGGATGCACCAGAATTAGATATGAGGGCCCCTGAATCTCTTCTTTCTAAGGGCTATAAGATGAAAGCCTCCAAAGCCCAGTCTAAGGGAGGCCCAGTTTCCCAAGATTTTCAAATACAAGCCACAAAGGTAAGTTAGCTCTTCATAAGTTAGCCCAAGGCTCTGGGAAGCTTATTTTTCTTTGAGATGTTGGGCCAGGCCATTTTTGCCCTATATTGATTTTACAGAATCTCCAGTTGTGATTCACTGTTATGGTATTCCAACCTCTGCTCGTTAGATTTCTTATTTTCTACAGAAAATTCATTGACTGCTTTTTCATTATCTCCTCACTTCATTTTCTTTGTCCACTGTCAAATTTTCATTACCTGGGTGACCTTAGAAGATATTGCAGAGAATGGTTTCTGGTGCAATTACAGGCAGTCTTTCCAATTGTGAAGAGGTCTGTAGGTCATGTCAAAGTGATACTGAGACTTCCATGGCATTCTGAATTCTTCAACTTTCATACCCCCACATTGGAACCTCTTAACTGAGAAATAACACATTTTGCCAAAATGCTGAAGCTCTGGCACTTTTTTGTCATGATTGTGAGAAATTCTTCATGGGTGTCTTTTTCTTTTGACACAGTGGCATATAGGTGATCATGTGTGTGCATTATGGGATGATGGGGAATGGTATGAAGCTGTGATTGTTTCCATTAACCTGGAGCAGCGTACAGCAGTTGTCCGATATATTGGTAATTATTCTTGTCATATTTTATTTATACAAATTCCTTTCATTAAGTCATCAGTTGTTAATATTCTGGAATGAAGGTTATAATGATGAAGACACAGTAGCATTACGAGGACTTCGGAAAAGCATGGGAGAGGAGCATCAAATTGCACAAGCCAGACAAGTATGCAAAGAAAGAGGTGTTGAGGTAAATAATTATTTCTTTTATTTTCTGTTTTAGTGGGTATTAGATTTAAATTCATCAGTGTGATGACCTTTGGATGCCAAAAGTTTTCAGAGGAGGAGCATGACATTGAAGGTGAATTCAGGTTGAAGAAGACAAAGAAGCCTAAGAATTATTTGCCCAAGGAAGTCCACCTTCCAAATCTTCCACCTTTCCCAACTGTGAGTATCTTTGTAGGGAGGTAGGTAGACCTTAATCCCTCAGTTGGTGAATTGAAGAACTTGTGAGAACATACTGAGCCATATTTTAAAATTAAAATTTAGTTAATGCTAATTTCAAGTTTCATCTGTCATGTTTCATTTGGACAATAAAGTTTTTCAATTGATGCATAAATAGCTCTCATTGAATACCTTGACTATTTTGCTAATGCTGGTTGATGAAAATCTCAAACTTTGCACAGTCTCATCAAAAACAGAATTTGATGGCATAATGCTACTTGAACCAAGACCTTTAATAGCTTTATTTTTCCAGGGCTATCCCCCACCTCCATTACCTGGAGATCCTCTGCGAGATTTGAGTTCAAAGACCCCGAGTAAAAAAGCTGCCCTGCATTCCATGCTCATGGCATGGTACATGAGTGGCTACCACACTGGTAATAAAAAAGGCTCCTTGTCTTGCTACAGCTACAGTAATTCTCTTGCATACAATTCTGTCTTCACCATATTGATTCTGTTGTTTGTCAAAGGATTCTACCATGGTGTGATGGCAGAGAAGAGGAAGGACAAGAAGAATGTGAAAGGAAGGACTTCATGTGTCACAGAAGATGCCTCTTAAAGATCCCCTGTATTTCTGTGTGGTGGTTATGTTATACCAATGCCATTTCTTGAATAATCTCTGTTTGCATTTTATATAGTATGGGTATCTTTTCTCAGATGCTTGGAGGTTATGCAAGGAATAACTTTGCATTTATTCCATCCCTTGCAGACCTTTCATATAAGTTTCAATGTATGATGTGTATTTAGATATCATTTGAGTGAAGTTTCAACAATTGGGAGATCTTTTGTTGATAGATAGGCAATAGGCTTGGTCCCTATCCCAGGTGACCATTGAGTCTTAAGGGTACATTCTGGTACACGACAGGGTGGTCACTGACGTGGGTATTTATACAGTGTACTTCAAAAGTAGTTAGAACTCATAATTGATGGAGATCAGAGTGGTTCAGCTTTTAGCTTTGCCATTTGATTTCACTCCATCTTGCAGCATCTCATGGCATTGGCATACCAACCCAGAATCAGGATTCATTGCAACGATCATTGTGATGTATCTTTTCGATTCAGCAGCAATACGATTGCAGCACTTCCTAATTTCTGCTTGGCCTAAGCTGCTTTGCAAGTAGAGATTCAAGCCTGTTTCTGTTTATCAATCCAAAATCATTGTGTTTCTCCTTCGTGTCTCATTAATCAGGTGACATGTCGAGGGCGAGAAGTCGAGTTGGAAAAAGTCTAATTCGCTTCCATTCTTGCCATGAGGAAGTAAACGACGGAGAGGTTGGTCGAATGCACTACGCATTTGCTCGATACCGGTGAAAAGAGCCGAGAAATGTCGCATTGCGATTTGCCTTCGCGACTCCTGCTGTCCGGATGGTAGTTGGCAATGAGCTCGTTTTCAGTCGCGATTGCTAACAACTGTGGACGAGATTTGATCTGAAGATTCCTCCGTTCTCGAAGCGACTGACCTGAATTTCGACCGTTAACCGCTTTATTGCCACGTCAGAGAATTCCGTGAACGCAGCACGTTAGTCATTTTCATGTTGAAAGTTCGAAAGGGAAGCCAATGCTGAGATGGAGCGGTTTCCAAACACGTTTTCGCTTCTGTTACGGGTCGCGTTGCCGATCAGATAGCGATTCTCATCGTATCGAACGCACCGACTCCGAAAGGAGCGATGGAAAGACAAGGACCCGTAAGGACCGGTCGGAGAGGAAACGAAGGACGAATCCCGATGAGGGCGAGGCGCGAGACGACGTGCACGGATGGGTCGTTCCCTCCTGACGACGAAAGGCAACGGGACGCGATCGCAGGGATGCTCGGTTCTTCCGAGGCGATTCTCGCGGGGTCGGATGGGATGCCGTGCGGCGATGCTGCGTCGCTCGGGGTCTCATGCTTCGACTACGATGCCGCAAGTCCCAAGCTTTTCCTTTTTAGTCTTGTGCACACGCTGGAAACCCACGGGAGATCGTCGATTCTGACGAGTGTGCTCATGCATGACCCTGGTTCGTAGGTCTAGAATCATTAAGGAAAAAAAAGGGGTTCTTTTTGGACCGATTTGGGTCGATTGGCCCTTGATTGAATGCAAAATGCTGTAAAGTTAGCCGAGAGGCCGTTCGGCATCCGTGCCTCGTGACAATTGTGGGATTCGGGTAAAATCTCAGTCGCGCCCGCTAGTTTATGAAATTACCGCTTTTCCAAACGCGTTCCCATGACGTATACCAGAACTATAAAATGGACCTGAAAATGAATGGCCCTGATTTTATCATCGAATGTTCATCCCTCTCGATTTACGGTGGGGGTTTCACTCGATACATTTTTTCAAAGCGTTTAAATCTTCTCTTTTTCTTTAAATTTATTAAAACAGATATTTCTATTTTTCTCATTTCGTTAAGAGCCGTTTCTGTACCTTCCTTGCGCAACCTTTTCTCGTGCTTGAGAAAAATGTTGGCTAGAAGAAGAGACAATCAGGGAGGCGTCTTCGAGCATTCCAAAGTTGGCCTACCCGTAAACTTAATTCGCAGAATGTTCATTAAAGTTTCGTTTGAGGAGAGCACGCGTTCTACGCAGGTGTTTTTGCTTTCGAATGAAAAATGACGGCGCGAAAACAGTTTCGCCACCAAAACTTTCCTCGATGTTTTGGCGTATTTCGGAACCGCCTTCATCCACTCGATGGCCGCTGGGATGATGAGCGGCGACAGCGACATCGACCGTCGAGATCCCTCAACCTGGATGCACAAGGCATTAGGAGCTCTCAGATTCACCGAGGAGACGGGATGGAGCGCTGCCACTTTTACCGGGGGTGTGCTGCACGCTATGATTTCTCGCTATAGATATTCAATGTCGAGAGATAGACTAAGGATCTCGAGGCCGCCGATTCCCAGTGCCAATTGGCTTCTGCGAAAACTTAGTTCGATGCGAGTGAGATTTCCTGAAGCTATTGGTCGGTATGCGGAAAGCAAAAACTGGTTTCTCTCGGGAGAATCGCTTCCTAAAAGTCATCGGGCGATCGCATCTCCATCGAGCCACTCGACGACAGGGGAGACTTCTGCATAAAGGATTTTCATTCTCTGAATATTAAATTCGTTCCTTACGCGAACACAAAAAGGGAAACAATCTTAAGAGGCCTAATTCTTAGGAATCCTAAGGGATTTTTCTCGTAGGATTCTTTTAGGAATCTCATACTGTAGGATCCTATCAGAATAATCTCAACATATCGCAGCGAATGGACTCCATTCTCAGCGAATGGCGTCCTCCAGTTCAGCGTTTCAGAATTTCTTTGCTCAAATTTTGCATTTCGAACATTATGAATAAATGACGACACGCCAGCAACGCTCCCTATGAGAGATGCTTTTCTTTATTGCATAACGAATGCCCTTGGTGCACCAAAACGACTCCCAAACTTTCGTGGAACTGTGGTGCATTGTTTTTGTTCTAGAATGTCATAATTCCTCCAACCGACTTTATCACCATTGGTACTTGGAACTCTTCTTCAGTGGATATAGACGGGACTCTATCCTAGACTCCAGCGCTATTTTTTAAATTATGTAATATCTAGTTTTCCTCGGTAAAAATTGGTCGTTTGATCGTTCCAGTTCATTCCGTTTTTCCTACGATATGTAGTGCACCCTGCGTTTTTGACACTTCAGTGATTTAGCAAAAAAAAAGCTGGACCTGGGATTCGCGAACTCATTTCCGAAACACGAGTCTAAGAGGTAAATGAAACACTGTGACTGTATGGGTATCGAATTGGATGCGACGATGGGTTGGGACGAACGACTTCGCGGATTCGTTGAAATTATGAGAGTGCGATGATGTGAAAATATTCGTCTCAAATAGTCGAGATTCTCAAGACACGGAGGTTTCTCTGTCGACAGGAGACAGTCGAAGGGGGGGGGGGGAAGGAAGGACTCCGCGCTTCTGCTCTGCGGCAGGTTCTGGGGATCTTGGAGGACCGGAGCAGCTGCATTCTCTCGATTCTGGGTGTCCGTGTCGTATCCTCGAACCTGCATTGAGATAACGTTGTGGTTCTTTCGCATCCTACCTATTACCTGACGTGTGGTAGGGTTTGGTAGGAGCTTGTAATGGTCGAGAGTGGTCTTGTTCCCGATTCGACGAGTTTTACAAAATGATGTCATTTCCAAAGAAAATATGTTCTTTTAGTGGGCATGAAGATGCTGGCACGATCGTAGAGGAAATTCTACTGGAAGATACCGAGAAGAAATCAAGGATAGTCATAGAAAGCGAGCATTATTACCTGGATGTTCCGCCGTCCGTGTAACGAGACGATGAGAAGGGCTTGGGGGGGAAGAGGCAATGTCGATCGAGAATGCTTCTCGAAAGTGAGGGCAGACCGGTAGACAATGTGACACCGATGCCTCATTATAGTTTGAATGTGGGGAGAGAACTGAATCAGTCGATGCAACATTTTTCGATTCTTTCACCTCCACACCATGTGGCTCCATGGAGAGGGAGACAGCACGAGACAGTGGAGGAAGAAAGGAAGACGCGGGCCTGCCGTGACCTTGACCTGTCAGACCTTCAGACAAGTAAGAAGCAGATAGCCCGACACTCCCCCCCCCCCCCGCCCGGATCATCCAACCCCACTGGGTCTGCCTAGCTCCTTCTCAGTCTGAATCTTGGCATTGGGTTGGCTGCTCGGATAATCGCACGTCTTCAACAGCCGTCGACCTGCTCGCGTGAACGACCAGGTATGTGGATCCGTGCATCCCATGGACTCCAAGGAGTCCTACTATTTAGTACGAGAGACGATAGGAGACGATACGAGAGTACGATAAGACGGCATGAAACTTTTTGCGAGTCGGGCCAAGTCCTACGAGTAAATTGTGAAGGGTGGAAGGCATGAAGTTGATCGCTTCGATAAGGAACGTCCCTCGTGAACTGTCGTTTTCGAATGTAGCATCTCGCTGGAGTGGCCATTCGTCTTTTTTATATGGCTCCCTTTATGCACTCTGTATTCGAAGGAGTCAAATGATTCTCCTTTCGATGCTCTTCATACAATACTCACTGGATGCAAGAAAGGGTTAGATGTGAGACTCCGTTCCAGTTAAGGGGAAAAAAATGGCTCGCCTTGAGCTTCTCTTTGGTTTCTTGCTCGGGTGAATCGAAAATTGCACGGATTGCAAGGTCTTATGGCATGTGGATGCCCATTTTTCAAACTGCGTGGTTTATCGATATAAACCTGTGAGGATGAATTGTGAGGAGTCGGGGAGGGAATCAGTTAGGCTTTTGTACATCTTGTGAATACCATTTACCCCTTTTAAGCCCTGTCTTCGCCTTGTTACTACAGCAGTGCAAGGGGTGAACAAAGTGTTCCGGGACTGAATTTTTTATGACGCTGTAGTGATTCTTTCCAATTACTGATGGTTATATCCTTCAAAGTAGTCCTCTTCGGCATCTACACAAATTTCCCGGCGTTTCTTCAGCTGCTGGAAACATTGCTGACCCTTTTGGAATCACCAGCAGTGCTCGCGTCGCGTTTACAATTTTGCTTTGAATGCCTGAAATATTAATTTCGGCACACTCTTTAGCTTAGGACAAGAAAAGAAGAAAATCCTAGGAGCAGGGCCTGTCGAGTTGGGTGGCTTATGAAGCACGGAGATTGCGAAATGGCTCAGAAACCGCTGAAATCGGAAAATAAGAAAATTTCAAGACAGCAGCGCTACGAACGCGCCACGAGTGCTGCCGGTGATTCCA